GGCTTGGGGTTTAGGGCTTAGGGCTTAGGGTTTAGGGCTTAGGGCTTAGGTCTTAGGGCTTGGGGTTTAGGGCTTAGGGCTTAGGGTTTAGGGCTTAGGGTTTGGGGTTTAAGGCTTAGGGTTTTGGGTCTTTGGGTTTGGATGTCCCGAAGCCCTAAACCTAAACTCGAACCCCGAAAACCCAAACCTAAATTTAAGGCCTAGTGCAGGGGCCGAAAAAATTAGAATAGGGTTTTGGGTATGTTATACTAGAAATAGAATTGAAACCTAAACCCCTAAGCCCTAAACCCAAAACCGGGCCTCCATCCAAGTTTCTTCCAGCCTCTCCCAATCTTCCAAGAGGTTCTGTCCTTCAGGGTTTAGGGCCTTAGGGGTTTAAGGTTTAGGGCCTTGGGGTTTAAGGCCTTAGGGGTTTAGGGGCTTAGGGCCTTAGGGGTTTAGGGTTTAGGGCCTCAGGGGTTTAGGGTTTAGGGTTTAGGGTCTTGGGCTGTTGTTATGGACTTAATCGAAGGCTGTGACGATAAGGGCGTATAGTACCTTTGGAGGGCGCTGTCAAATCTGCTTCGTCCGGGGTTGGACTGCAGGGCATGTTTGGAGCATGGGGCACCGAGTGCAATGTCTAGGGGCAACATGTGGCAGCTCACTTCTTCGAACGCGGGAGGGCGCTGCCCAATCAGACTAGAGGGATGTTTGGGGCATGTGGGCACGCTCCGTGCTGTCTAGGGGTGTGGTCGGGGCATGCGGCGCATGGACACCAGAGTGTGCTGGCCTTAAACCCTAAACCCTAAACCCAAAACCTAAACCCTAAACCGCTCCTTTCAACTCCGGCGCCACGGCACGGGCGAGGAATCCTCGGGGTGGCAGCTCTTCGGTGAAGTCTGGGGGCACTCAGAAAATCAAGTTGGGGTATATATCTAAATTAGGGTCCCTTTTCAGGCATCTAGGAGGAGTTTCATCAGGGTACTATACTAGTTATAAAGGTCCTATTTAGGTATCCAAAAAAGGAGCCTAATTTAGCGAACTACCCATAGCGCCTCAATGATTTGAAGCAGATTCTCAGAGGGTTGTTGCAGGGCTTCCTGGCAAATGGAGGCTAAACAGGCAGGGTTTAAGGTTTGGTTGAGGGGGGGTATTCGGTTTTTGCAGGGCTTTTAACTTCCTTCCAGAGCTCACATAAGGGTTCTACATAGATGCTGCTGGGTATACCTGGAGATTGGTCTTGCCATGTGGAAGGGATAAGACCCTACCGTAGCGTGAACAACAAAAGAACTGACGATATCGTGACCGTCATAATTATGACAACGGGGCACCACCGCAAAAAATGAGTCAAGAAACCCAACCCTAAACCCTAAACCCTGAACCTTGAACCCTGAACCCTGAACCCTGAACCCTAAGCCCTAAACCCTCAACCCTAAACCCTCAACCCGAACCCTGATCCAGAAAGCACTGAGTTTGGTTGCCGCGGGGCCGAGGGGCAGCACTGCCCTCATTGACCTCGCCCACCGCTGCGTGTTGGGGCTCGGGCAAGCTTGAGGTTAGTTTGAAGTTTAAGGTTCAGAGTTTAGGGCTTAGGGTTTAGGGTCTAGGGTTTAGGTTTAGGTTTAGGGCTTAGGGCTTAGGGTTGAGGGCTTCATTTGAGTGCCTGAATCATTCGAGAAGGCTTTTAGCTTATAGACAACCCCCAGATAGGGCTTTTTGGCTTGTGAGACGCGGCTTTCCATCCATGGCATCTGTCAGCTCGGGAGAAGTTCATCAGATAGATGAGCTCCTAGAAAGGTCACCCTGGCGATGTGAAAGGGCCTCACAACTGCTGCAAGATGACGTGCAGAACCCCCTTTGGAAACCTCACACCCAAGCCCCCATTTGGAACAACAAAACAGCATCTGCAAGAAGGGAAACGGCTGGTGAAGCTTCAGGGCCCCCATGAATCCTTTTGGGTTTAGGGTTTAGGGTTCTATAACCCTAAACCCTAAACCCAACACCCCGCCCCCAGGCCATGATACAGAAACGTCAAAGCCCGACACAAAATCCTTGAAAGACATAACCTATGACCCCTAAAACCGTGCAAACCCCAAAGCCTTAGACCCTACAACCCTAAACCCTGAAACCCTAAACCCCAAGCCCTAAACCCTAAAACCCTAAAACCCTAAACCCTGAACCCCTAAAACCTAAACCCCAAAACCCTAAACCCCTAAACCCTAAACCCTGAAACCATTTCCTACGAACTTAGAAGGATCATGGGACGTAGTAAGTAAGGTTATAAGTACCCTATTTGGGGTTATAATTATAGTTACCTTATTTATAACCCTAGCTACTAAGTCCCGTTATCCTCCAAGTTAACCCTAAACCCTAAACCCTAAACCATAAAACCCTAAACCCTAAAACCCTAAAACCCTTAACCCTAAGCCCTAAACCTTACTTACTAAGTCCCATGATCCTCCAAGTAAACCCAAAAAGCCGGGCTTTCGTCAGAGCCCCGAGCTGTCTCTCGGGTGTTACGCGCAGCACCTGCTAGGAGTGCTTGTCGTTTGGCGGTTTCAGGTCTAGGGTCTCGGATTTCGGGTTTTGGGTTTAGGGTTTAGGGTTTCGGGTTCAGGGTTTGCGAGTTTAGGGTTTCGGGCTCAGGGTTTGCGAGTTTAGGGTTTAGGGTTTCGGGTTTAGGGGTTTTGGGTTTAGGGTTTAGGGTTCAGGGTTCAGGGTTTGCGGGTTAGGGACTGGGAGTTGGGGGGTAGGCCAGGGTTCAGGGCAGGTGTAAAAAACACTACGGGCCCACTACAAGGGGGTTGCAGAAGGAGAACGGATATAGTCTACTGACACTATATACCTACACACGTGATGGGACTGAAAAGACGTTCCAACGTTAATGATCCCCTCCTCCATAACTCCTTCAAGACCCTAGTTTGGGCGGCAGGATGCGACTGAGACAGAGACTCACCCAAAACTCAGAACGATCTCAAAAGGCCTTGTAACAAGAAACCTATGTAGACCCGCTCAAAACCCTCTGGAATCCCTGAAACCTTTTCACAACACAAAACACAGAGAAACTCTTCACCAAACCCCCTGAAACCCTGCGAAGATGCCACACACTCTAAACTCCTGAGCCTATAGATAGGGTTTAGGGTTTAGGGTTTAGGGTTTAGGGTTTAGGGTTTAGGGTTTAGGGTTTAGGGTTTAGGGTTTAGGGTTTAGGGTTTAGGGTTTAGGGTTTGCGGTTGAAGGCCCTCCTCTTCAGCGCTGAAGCACTGACCGAGGTGGTTGCGGCCCTGCAAAAGCAGTCGTAGATTGAGTAGAGCAGTATCTTCGGGTATGTTGAAAGATTTGGGGAGGGGTGAAGGGCATTGCGATTTAGGGGGATTTAGGGATTAAGGGTTTAATCGTTTTGCATTTTGGGGCGCAATTGGGCGCAGGGTCTTGTAGAAGTTCCTTAGGAGATCTACCTGGACCTTTTTGCTACATCCCCTGATCATCAAGTAGATTGCGTCGTTCATGTATGGTTCGAGGCACAGGCCCTCAAACAAAAACGCCAGGTTGCGAGTGTTCACAGCTTTGGATTCAGGGTAGCATTCACGAAGCATCATGAGACTTGGTGACAACGATGAAGACCGCTCTGATTAAATCGGCGCTGACGGTCATGAAGCATTGGATATACGAAAATTGCTGGCAGCAACCCAGAAAGATACCCGCCATGCCGAAGACGATGATGGAGTTGGAGATCGAGATTTTGATGGTAGAACTATCAAAACCACCATCCAAACAACAGCTTCGAAAGCGTCCCTTCGGGTCATATCCACGGAGAGCCCAGAGAACCCAAAACTCCAGCACCCCTACCCCTACCCCCTACCCACCCCCTCTTTCCGTGGCCCCCGCGCCCACCTCGTGCATGCCTGCTGCACAGCGAAAAGCCTTGTCCACAGTCAGACCCACAGACTCCAACAAAAGGCTCACCTGAGTGGTTTCAAACACAGAGGCTTTGTTTTTTGTGCTTTGAAGTTTAGGGTGTACGGTTTACGGTTTAGGGTTTAGTGCTTTGGGCTTAGGTTTTGTTTGCAGGCGTCGTTCTGATTGAGATTCTTTAATTTGCGCAGGGTTTGGGGCTCGGGGCCTTGAGTAATTAGAAGAGGGTTTTGTAGGATTCATTGAAAAGTACTACAAAGTTTACTAGAGCGGTTTGGGATAGGAGAGGGCTCACCTGAGACTTTGAAATAGCTCATAAATGAACTATGACTAGACATTCAGGCTTCTATATGAAAAAGCAATCCTTTAGGGCCTGGCCGCCTATAGTAGGCCAGTGTTCTATGTCAAGGTCCTCGTAGGCTTTAGGGCTTGGGGTACAGACCATACACAAGTACGCATGTGTGAGTAGCATTGCTTCCGATATCGGGCGGGCACCATGAAACGCCGGAGGCAGAAATTGGCTAGCCCCACTTGTAGTAGGTGTAGTGAAGACGCCACAGACCCAGCCGGGTTTTACAGGATTGTATCGGGGCCCTATATGGGGGCTTATATGGGTTTTGGGCTGTCTTAAGGCATCGGCAGACTTAGCAACATCTTAAAGCCCTCGAGCCCAACTTTTGTATGGGTAGTCTTCTAAACTACGGTCCCTTTTTAGCTCCCCAATATAGTACGGCACCCTTATAGAAAGGACCCTAACAGGGACCCTCATTTAGAGAACTACACCCTAAACCCTAAACCCTAAACCCTAAACCCTAAACCCTTAACTATAAACCGTTCAGCCTTGTGAGATGCGGGACTGAGGCTTCAGCAAAGGTTCAAAGTTGGGGATCTAAGGTTCAGGCCGCGCCTCCTGGGGTTGGGTTTAGGGTTTAGGGTTTAGGGTTTAGGGTTTAGGGTTTAGGGTTTAGGGTTTAGGGTTTAGGGTTCAGGCCGCGCCTCCTGGGGTTGGGTCCTAACCCCTTTGGGGTTTGGGCTTTAGAGTTGAGGGTTAGGTTTACCCAGAGAGCCCAATACCCCGTAAATAAGGAATAGACCTTAAATTATGGGGGCCATAATAATGTGATTTAAAGTACAATCCTTAGGTACTGGGCTCTCTGGATAGGGCTTGGACAATTGGATCTTGCGTTCACGATACGAAGTTCTCGCGACTGAGGAACGACTAAGGCGCTCACGGTCAGGCTCGTCGAGTATGGGGACCCTGTCTGGCTCCCTCGCTTCTTCACCTAGGGTTTAGGGCTTTAGGGTTTTAGGGTTTTGGGTTTCGGGTTTACGGTTTAGGTCTTAGGATTCCTTTATAGTGTTCTTTTAGGGGTTTAGGGTTTTAGGGCTTTAAGGTTCAGGGTTTTGGGTTTTAGGGTTTAGGGCGAGTTAGGGTAGGGATTCATGGCTTGGGCTGGAAAGTTTAAGGTCTCGGAGTAAGGGTTTAGGGTATAGGTTAAGCTAGGACACGAACCAGTCCAGGAATAGGAATCGAAAGACCTAGCAAACCTCTATGAAGCCCAAGGCTGGAGGTTCTGCAAGGTTTTCTGCAGGGTGCCAGGGGAGGTGGTTTGGGATCATGACTCGCAAGAAGTACGGCCATGTCTTTAGAGTGGTGTGCGATCACTAGCTACAGCCATGAAATACTTACCTTACTTCTATAGCCCAAACCCTGACTATGGCCGTTGGAACATAGGTTTCAAGGTCTGCAAGGAAGCTGAGTGTCAACAATGCAGGACGCAGGCTAAGAGGTCCCCTGTTTAGGGTTCCACCCGGTTTGGATCTCCCACATGCAACGTGTTGAGCCTGCTGTTCCCGGTTGGAGGTTTCAGAATTTGCTGGCTATTTTGGGGGCTTGGTTTTGCAGAGATACATGGAGCGAAAAGCGAGCGAGAGAGGGAAAGAGAGAAAAAAAAGAGACGGAAACGGAAACTGACACTGACGGACGGACGGACGAATGCACGCAGGCACGGACGGGACGGACAAAACAAAAAGACGAGCAAACAAACAAATAAACAAACGAATGAATGTCCACAGACTGACAGAGAGACATAAACGGTTGTGAAATGAACGTGCGTGTGTGTATATATACATATGTGTGTGTGTATGTACATATATGTATATATATATATATATATACACACACACAGATACACATGTAGATAAGGTTACCGATACATATATAGAGAGAGATAAATATATATATATATATATAGAGCATGTGCATACACATGTCCATCCAATTACGTTTGTACTTATGTCTACTTATTTGTACATGTTCGTGTCTAAGCATATATGCGCATACATTCAACCAAAGATTAACACCCAGACTCACAAGAGCATCGAGACATCCACATTAACGTTTAGGCCGCATCAATAGTCCTGAAAAACCTTGCAGAACCCCTGTAATTTTAGTAGCCTGGTAACTGGTACTCCAACATCCCTTAACCCCTGGCCCCTAATCCTCAAGTATATGCTCCACACCCAGCGGCCCCAAAATACCCTAAGCCCGAAACCCTAAACAGTAAATAAAAACACCGAAACCCAGCAGGACCGCCTCATCTGACAGGCCAAAAGTGCTGGTGGCCTCGACACATAGATTCTCCGCTAAGAAGGTCCCATGCCCTACAGGGTTTAGGTCTTACACCCTGCTTGCAGGTTTAGTGTAGGGTTCATTGCTTCGGTTTTCCAACATAACGATTTCGGCTTTGCCTGTCGAAGTAATAAAGGTCGTGGTGCTGGTAGCAATAGTAGTAGTAGTAGTAGTAGTAGTAATAGTAGTAGTAGTAGTAGTAGTAGTAGTAGTCGTAGTAGTAGCAGTAGTGGTAGTAGTAGTAGTAGTAGTAGTAGTAGTCGTGGTGGTGGTGGTGGTAGTAGTAATCGTAGTAGTTGTTGTTGTCGTAGAAGTAGTAGGCGCACAAGTACTAGTAGCGGAGCAGTAGCAGCAGCAGCGTCAGCAGGAGAAGCAGTAGCAGCAGCAGCAGCAGCAGCAGCAGCAGCACCACCACCACCACCACCACCACCACCACGAATAGCTAATGAGGAGCAGCCAACAGTAGTAGGAATTGCAATAGCAGGAATAGCGCTGTCGCAGAGAACTACTGTTTGGCCTCTGACAGTGAACATTATGCACTACCACACCCTAACCCTACTGAACCATCGGTGTTCGTCAAGGCGCATGTGGGAAACCTCGAGGAAGGTATAAAACATCACCTGGTGCAAGAGTCTCGTCGATCAGCATGTCACCAACCTCGCAGAATAACAAAGGGAACAGACGGGACTTTCAGGTGGGGGGGACCGACTCAGAGAAGTAAGCATAAACCCCAACACTGCACAGACCCTAAACGCAAGGGATCCTTCCCTCACAACAACCTCATACAAACATGAGCACGAAGTGGAGAAGGAATTGAGTCTTTCGGGGGAGGAGTTCTTCTCAGGGACTGAGAGAGGGTTTAAGGCTTTTTGTTGCTTTGGGGGTTTGGAGGGGGGGCTTGGGTTCCAGCCGAAAGGGCGCAAAACGTGTAGCGGAAGCCTGTGGCCTCCACGTCCAACGCTGTCAACCCCCTAAACCCTGAGCCCTAAAGACCCCAAAGTCTCAACCTTTCCCGGAACCCCTAAACCCTAAACCCTAAACCCCAATATCCCTGAACCCTAAACCCCTAAACCCCCCTAAACCCTAAACCCCGCTCTTGCTTTTTCCTCAGGCCGCCGTTGCTGGCGACGCTCTGGGGCGACAGACGCCTCTTGGGAGTTGGATGCTGCGAGCCGGTTGATCCAGGGCTCCTCCCGTTCCTCCCTCGCCTCTTCTGGCCGCGGTCTGGCGTCTTGAACTTCGCGACGGGGGTCGGCGTCTCCAAGGTCTGGCTGCCACTGCCAGGAGGAGGCCTCTTCCCTCGCTTCTTGGGCGTCTCTGGCCCACCATCGCACTCTTTAAGTAGGATCGGGAGATCGAATCGACATTCACAGTCGACTTTGAGTTCATCGAGGAGTTGAGAGACGTCTCTTTTGCACAACCCTGCACCCTGAAACGTAGCGCCCTAAACTCTACACGGTTCTCCAAAAAAAACAAACCCCGAACCTCGAGACCCTGATACCCTTCAACCCTCAAAACGTAAAGCCCTACTTCCCAAACCCAAATACCCCAAATACCCCTAAACCCTAAACCCTAAAACCCAAAACGCCTCCTCCAAACCCGAAACTCCAAACCCTAACGCGCAGGCGAAAGATCAAAAGACTTCTTTCTTCCCCAATAAGCCAGAGAAACAAACGGTTAAACTTTCAGGTTACTACTAAATTATGAAAACCCAAAAAAGTTCAAAGTTTGGGTATTGGGGAACTTAGACTTGCAAGCCCAAGCAGAAGATCCCGAGCCCTGTTCCCCTCTCCCTCTGCGCACTTCCTCCCTCAAGCCCTAAACCCCAAACTCCCAACTCTCACAAAAACCCAAACCCCTAAACCCCAAACCTCCCCCTCAAAAAGGAGTTACAAAAAAACCTGAACCCCTACGTAGACCCTAAACCCTAAAACCCCCCAAAGCCCCCTCCTGCTCCAGGTAGAGGACATCCCCGGCCTTCCCCCTGGCGGAGATCAACTTGCCGCGCGGAAAGTCTGTCTACGGCTTCGGGCTTCGGGCTTAGGGCCCAGGGCTTAGGGTTTAGGGTTTAGGGTTTAGGGCTTAGGGCCTAAGGGTTTAGGGCCGAAGGGTTTAGGGCCTGGGATTTAGGGTGTAGGCGTTTAGGGGCTTAAGCGTTTGGGGCTCAGGGCTCCTAAAAATAGAGCCCGGAAGCATTTCCCGGTGTTCAGGACTTCATGGCCTCAGGGCATGTAGGGTTAAGGATTCAAGGCTTTATGAGGGTTTAGAGTTTCAGGCTTCGGAGTTTTGCTGTGGGAATTGGTCCTTATGAAACCCCGTGAGTCCTCTAAAACACCTATGGAAGCCCTCATGAAACCTTTGAAACCCCTAACATGAAACCCTATGACACCCCTACAAGCACCATTTTCAGGGGTGCCCTGCCCTGCCTGTCCGTCATCCCGGCATCCATGACCGGCCACGGGGGTACCGCGCTGCTGGTCCCGAAGATCCGCCAGCGCTTGAGCCCCTGCAATCCGACTTTGTTTTGGGACTCAGCGCCCAGGGTTGAAGATTTAGGTTCAGGATTTAGGGTTTGTGGGTTAAGGTTTAAGGTTTAAGTCTTGAGGGTTTAGCACTCAGGGCTTAGGATTTTGTGATTGACTTCAGTTGTAATGGGGCGTCGGGGTTGCCAGGGTTCGGGGCGGCAAGCGAGAGGCACTCAGGGCGTCAGGGACGAGGGATTCGGGTTCTTGATCAACAGCAGTGGCTCGTTTTGGTCGCATGATACTGATAACGATGTCTATAGTGAGTTTGATGGTGATGACACTGACGATGGTGCTGCTCCTGATGATGACGATGACGAGGATGACCATGACAATGACTAGCGATGACGATGATGACGATGATGATGAAGATGACGACGATGATGAATATGAAAAAACAAATATGAATACGAATATGAAGATGAAGCTGAAGATGAAGACGAGTATGACGATGAAGATGAAGATGAAGACGAGTATGACGATGAAGATGAAGATGAAGATGATGGCGATGATGATGATGATGATGACCACGATGATGATGCTGCTATTAACGAAGACAATGCGGAGGATAATGGTGTTGATGACCATGGTGATGGCGATGATGTTGAAGATGTGGAAATGGTGAAGATGGTGAAGATGTGAAGATGGTGATGATGATGATGATGGTTTTGATGGCGATAACGATGACCGTGTGAGACTGCTGGAGGTGGTGAGTGGTGCTGATGACAACTGTGATCGCTCGCACATCACTTGCTAGGACATGTTGTTTCGAGACTCTGAACAAGGGGCCCTGTACAATACCCAAAGAAAGACCACCTGCCTCTCCCTCTTCATACTATCCGAAAAACCTAAGCCTTAAAATCCTCTGCAACTCAACTACGGCACCTCAGTCTGCATGATGAAGGAGTCAAAGCGATCCGTATGCAGCGGCGCAGTGACGGGGGCGTCCAGGTGCGAGATGTACACGTTCAGGGTGATGAAGGGAAGCTGCCGGACAGCTCAAACTTTAGGGTTCAAACGTTTAGGGTTTAGGGTTTAAGGTTTAGGATTTAGGGTTTAGGGGTTCAAGCGTTTGGGGGTGCAGGGTTTCAAGATGAGCTAAGCATGACTCGTAAGCTCCTTACAGTACTCCGAACCCATCTGGTGAGGATCATGGCTACTGAGAGTGTGTCATGCACTTGGGCTCGGAGTTTATGTAGGCGCCTTTCTGGAATTGTGTAACTGCTCATAAACACCCTTATAAATACAAAAACGAAACAACAGCTCTGTAAACCCGGCTGGTGCTAAAGACCCCAAAACGCTAAACCCTGAACCCTAAACCGCTACGCCCTTACCCCTAAACCCTAAACGCTCCCTGCTTCTTCCCGGCGCTCTCTGCCTGGAAAGCCGACTGCAAAGACTGGCAGACCTGGCCCGCCGGTGGTTATTAGGGGGTTTAGGGTTTGGGGTTTGGGGTTTAGGGTTTAGGGTTTAGGGTCTAGGGTTTGGGGTTTTTGAGGGTTTGGGGTTGAGGGTTTGGGGTTTAGGGTTTTAGGGTTTCAGGGTTCAGGGTTTAGGGTTTAGGATTTAGGGTTGAGGGTTAAGGGTTAAGGGCAGGGCTTCATGTTGTCTCTGCCTTTTGATAAGAAGGTTTCTGCGCATCCATCGGTTACGGATGCCTCCTGACAGAAATCTATACAGATAAGGAACCTTCTTTAAGTAAGGGAACCCATTATGGTATAAGGAATGGTCTTCACTCACGAAACCGTGGCCATGTAAGGCATATAGACCTTCACGCAGGGTTCTTGAAATCTCTGGGAGTAGGTATGTTGGTTTCTTGGCCCTTCAGTTACTCCTTTAGCGCTAAATACAAAAACCCTGCCAGAAAAGCCCCTGAGGGTTTATCTCTAAACACCACTTAAAAAGTACTAGAAACCCAAAGTCTGAACCTTGAATCGGAAGAAAGCTGCTACGCCAAAAGAACACATGAGCACGCATAACGACCTAAACCTTATGAACCACTGCTGCCCAGTTCAAGTTTCATACAAATCTACGCGAATTCCTAGGCCTCGGCAAGGCGCGGGGAGAGCGAGTTGCCACTGGATAAGACCCAGGTGCTGTTCTTCACACCTCGAAACGCAATATGGAGGCCTTAACAACTAGAATAGAGCTTACCGGGGCCTGGTATGGAAAAAGCTACATCAAAGAACTTTCAGGCAACAAGCACGTATTCCGGCCTCGTAACATAGGCTTTAAGGCTTTGTGGCTTTGGGTCTTTGGGATTCGGGTTTAGGGTTTAGCCGAGACCTTCTGCTACGGCTCGAAAAGGTCTTCTTGGGTCTAGGGCATTGGGGGGTTACGGTGTAGAGTTCGGGTAACGGTTTTTTTAGGGTTTTCGCAGTTTGGCACACAAGTTGCCCTGAACCCGGATTTCTCTTTCTGTTGGCATTGCCAGGATTCCCTCTTACACCGCAGAAGCACCCCACGGAAACAAACAAGCCAAAAACTAGATAGGTCTTACGCCCAAACCCAAAAGTCCAACAGCCCTGCGGACTGCACAATGCGGATGGAAAAGAATCATCACAGCTGTAACCATAACACTAACTAAAACAGCAAAGGTAATACTGATGACAATGCAACTAACAGCTGCCAACTACCTACCAAAGTCATTGTAAGGCTGAATGACCAGAACTGAAGCCCCTCACAACCCTAAACCCCGGAGACAGACAAGAGAATGCTTGTCAGAGAAAAAACACCTCTTGCGGCTCAAGCCGCGCTCCCTGACAAGCTCGTCAGTGAGGTTCTCGCACCTCTGCACGCTTCAGAGCCGCAGGGCCAAAACCCAAAACCCTAAACTTTAAACTCTAAAAGGGCATCCTCCCTGAATCCGAAGTTCTTTCCAACCTGAAGGAACCCGAAGAACCGAAGTACCCACACCCTGAACTCGAAAAGCGCGCAGTACGCAAACAATACAGGGTCGGAATGATCATTTTTAATATTCCCGTATAGTGCCTGCCTAAGTATAGCATACTATGCACCTGAACCCTACCCCTAAACCCTAAACCCTAAAACCCAAACCCCTAAACCCTAAACCCCAAACCCAATCTTCTGCACCTAAACCCTATTCCTCTTATTCAAGCCCCTTTTTCCGCCTGGCCTCGGTCCTGAGCGTTGGCTTGGGGGCTCGGGGTCCGGAAATCGGAGTCGAAACTGGTTTAAGATTTAGGGTTTAGGGTTTAGGGTTTAGGGTTTAGGGGAAATCGGAGTCTAAAACTGAGGCTTTGGTGCTTCGGATTTAGGACATCCGGGCTTTGGGGTTGAGGCTTCTAAGGTTTCGGGTTCAGGATTCTAGACCCTAAACCCTAAACCTTAGGGTTTGGGGTTT